AAAACTTGATAATATTTTGTCATTTTAGAATTTCTAGGAAGTACTTCGTGCAACTTTTCATAAGTTTGAAAAATATAGTTAAATATATATACATTTTGTATTTATATCCGTTGCAGATATACATAGAAAAACATTTAACAGAAATAACTAGAACAGAACTTTAAGATACCTCGATATGTCCTCCACATTTAGTAATTATTAATTAAATATGAGAAAGAGAGAGAGAGAGAGAGATGCTATGACCATCAGTTTTACTTAACAAGTTAACACCCTTCAAGATAGTTGTCCATGTGCTTGACAGAGATCACCAATGCCTACCTGATCCGTTCCTTTACCTGCTGGAAGTGAACAAGTTGAATCACGAACATAAATCAAGTTTTGCGAGAACAAAGCCCCGTGGGCTCGCGCTCTCCCCACCCACGCACACGTGCCAATCGGCTTTGTTGGCGACTGGTCACAAGCGGGGTCGGGCCTAACATTGCATGGCCTTAGCGCATTGACATTCCGCGCGTAACTGGGGACTCCTGTTCATTCGCAATAGGTTGTCTTCAAATGTTGGAAAAGCTAGCCACACAACGGGAACAAAGGATACAAAATATTAATGCGCAATAAATGCCTTTTTTTTTGGTTTCGGCAAACTGTGTGGGCGGCTGTTTTGATGGACCCTTATCGTTCGACCGATCGTTAAAATTACTCATTCAGGCGAGTCAATTAATTCTTTAGGAGCGCATCTGTGGAAATTTTTATAAATCAAATTTTCATAATTTGTCTACTTCAAAGCCGTTAAAAACGATCTCTACATGTATAACATCCACTTTGTACATACAAAAATAAATGTTTAACACGTTTTAACATGGCCGACTAAAATAGCAACAATGATCGATAAAAACGGCACAGCTGAACTCGGAAAGAATAATGGAAAGTTGTAAAATGATAGAGTTTAAATTCATATAAAAATGTTTAAGATATTAAAATTTTTAAATTTGTCTGGCTTACCTTAACCATGTTAAGCGCAGTCTTGTGAATTTCCGACCACTTTTATCTAAGTACCGTGCGATAGGTGGTAAGTGGAAGGTGAGTTGACTCGGTACAAGTGACAATTACTCGAGTCAGGCGTGGCACACGTTTGCACATCGATCAATAGCAATCGCGAGGCGTTTCAGCATCTTCAAGTATAGCCATTGATATATTAATAAAAATAGGCCCTGCGCTTAACACATTCAATGGCTTAAATTGACTAGTATTTAAAAGACGTGCTGATACAGCGCTGAATAATACGTTGAATTACATCATAATGATATTCCTCTGTTCCAAGAACCATGTGACAAGCTGCGCCTTGTTCCGTGAAACGTGCCACGAAAACAGGGGACATGTTTCCATTCCTGAGCCACTGTACAGACCCGTATTCCTATGTTAACCTGTTAACACTGATTGCTACAAGACGTATATATCTGAAGAAATAATCCAACTAACCTTGAATCGAGCCGAGTTGTCCGTCCTTCTACCACGAGGCGTGTTGAAACCGTCAGAAAAAGATCCGGGGAATCCCCCAGATCCCGCTCGCTGTGTTTAAGCGATAGCGATGACGTTGGCACAACCGACGGCTGCAGACACTGTCCCACGACCACGCCGACAGCGGCTGTTGCGGGTGGTTATCTGAGAAACACGACCACCCGACTAACGATCTCTAATTCAAATCGTAAATGCCAGCCAGGCGACAGCACAGAGATGGGATGGGCTCGATCTGAACTTAATGACCGGCCGCTACCACGTGGTCACAAGTCTAGCGATATCATCAGTACTATAATAGTTGTGATATCAATCCATACGACTATCGATATCAGGCAACAACATCGTATAAATTCACAATTTGAATAGATTTTACCAAATATCGACCAAGACGAGTTTTACTGTAAAATTGTGTTCATTCTCTGACGGGATGAGACATTCTTCTGTTCAACTTCCTTGTGTAACACCAAGAAAGGATATGACACGAATGACTCCCCGGTCGTCAGACCAGCTTGACGATCACGGACCATCGTTTTCGCGCCTTTTCATTGGTCAATGATAACCAGGAAATGGGTTTCTAGCCCTATACACAACGAATAAAGTAGGTTAGATCCGGCCGACAGTGGTAGAACGTTGTTATCTCATCCGATCTGGCAGATATGAGCAATATCTGCACACATATTCAATACAATAAACCTGTTGATTGTAAATGTCCGCTTTCAGGATTATTAAAACATTTGATAATCACTGTGGCTATCTGTTTTTTAATATTTATAGAAAAAAAATAAAAATACTCCTGCTATGTGAATTATATGAGTGTAAAAAAATCAAAATATTTATATGACGAGTAGGCAAGACTGGTCGAAGTAATTGTTCCCATATGTAAGATGTACGCTAATTGTGCTTCGTAAGGCCCTTAGGCTACAGTGCAGTGCCCCTATCAAGCATATTCATCAACTGGCTTCACCATGTAATGGTTACACCCTAGGTTCGACAGCCTATTTTTAAAAAATTAAAAAACAACACTGACTAAAACAGATCAAACGTCAGCAAACAGATCGTTCACTGGATGTTTTGTACGCCTTGAAGTCACATCACTTGTGCGAATTTAAAAAAAAGATTCTCTCGATTAAAATGAAAACCTGACAACGCTCAGTATGACTGATCATTCATGCTTTGTAGCGTTTTTTAACGTAATCATATCTGTTAGCAAATATAATGATGGATAAAATGTCCACGACCCTTTGACACACGTCCATTAATATATACATGTAATACGTAATACGTTAACAACAAAAGAGAGAGAAAAGATAAGCCAGTAGCAATCTCACTGAACCATACACTAAAGAATGGTGATGTGTTTATATGTAAAGCCAATTACACCTTCAATTGCATATTTGTCGTGAGATTCTTTCAGAGAAAATGTCGCACATTACCTCAGTTGACGGTCCAACAGCCCAACAACAATTTTATTCTGTCTGAGGTGAATTGAGAAGGGACTGTCATACAGATCCGGTTGAAGATAAAATCTCTCCACACCCAATGATCTTGACGTCATGTCGTCATGTGTTGATAGAGCCGTTGTTTAGGTCTTAAGGCGCGCACAAGATGTATCTGTGTGTCCTACTGCAGTCTGACGTTGTGTCATGTAGGGTGTTTTAATAAGATCACTAGAGATAAATCACGACTTGAACGTGTCAACACGACATGCGAGAAAACACGACCAATGTAAATGCGATCAGAAAATTCTTTGTATGTATACATATGTATATGTGTGTGTGCGTGCGTGCGCGTTCATTTGTACGTTTTGCCCGTCTCTAATATATACGTCTCTTTGAGTCTCCATCTCCCATTTACCTACCATTGATTCTGTCTCTATCGACTTTCAGTGGGGCGGTGGGGAAGCCTAGTGGTAAAGGCGATCGCTCGAAGACCCTGGTTCGATTCCCCACATGGGTACAATGTGTGAAGCCCATTTCTGGTGTTCTGGCATTCAATATGCCTCACACTGCTCTTCTCCCCCCCCCCCCCACCCCACCCCATCGACTTCGTCCGACCCTACCTCACCACCGAACTTTGTTTGAAGATAATGAAACCGTTTTAACCCAAGTACAAAATCTAATTACCGAACTTCATAACATCAACCCACACATACAGTACCACTGATACAAAACACATCAACCCACGACCAATAACCGCCACTGTCTGTTAATTAACAAAAATGACATTAATTCACAACAACAAATCAATAAAAAATCAATATATGAATGAGTTATGAACCATATCCCAACCCGACGTTATCCTTTAGACTGTCACTCACATCAACATATAACAACACACACACACACACGCACACGCACACACACACTCAATTATGAATGAAACATATCCTACCTGATTAAATCCGTTCGTCAACAAAAATGACATTCAAACACGTCAACCCACGACCAACAACCGCCGTTGTCTGTCAGTCAACAAATATGACATTCAAACACATCAACCCACGACCAACAACCGCCGTTGTCTGTCAGTCAACAAATATGACATTCAAACACGTCAACCAATAAAAAAAACCCGAATATACGAATGAACTAGGAACCTACCAGAAACATATCCAACCCGATTACATCCGATAGTACAGAGCGGGCCTTGAGTGCTCCCACCACCACGAAGACGACTGAATAGTGCCGAGTCACCGGCAGCCGCTAGCCTATCCTGTACAAAACTGGGTGTGAGATCATGTGCCGTAGTACTCTATAGTAGATACAGCTTCATTGACAGGACGCCCACGCACACGGTCAGGAATGTCAGCCCAGTCGTCGCTGCTCCGACTCGATGAATGCGTAGTGACACAGTTCAGACTAACACGAAACTAGGAAACCGATATGTGTTCTGCAGTCCCAATTGTTTTTCCTTGTGGTATTTTTACTGTACTCTGTTCTCAGATCCATTCGGTGCTAAGAGTGATGAGAATACGTGTACGCAATAATTGTTCATGCTCAGTGTCTGTCTAGACTGTTTATGCTATGTGTGAAACCATAGTGACTATCCTGACACAGTTAAAGTGATAGGCACCTACAATCTGTGTTTGGAGACTCGTAGCGAAACAGAGTGACTATTTTGACACTGTTAATAAGTGAATGGCATCCTACAATCTTTGTTGGGAGACTCGAAATGAAACAAAGTAACTATCTTGACACTGTTAAAGTGATAGGCACCTACAATCTGTGTTTGGAGACTCGAAACGAAACAGAGTGGCTAATTTGAGACTGTTAAAGTAACAGGCATCCTACATATACAATCTGTGTTTGGAGACTCGAAACGAAACAGAGTGACTATCTTGACACTGTTAAAGTGATAGGCACCTACAATCTGTGTTTGGAGACTCGAAACGAAACAGAGTGACTATTTTGACACTGTTAATAAGTGAATGGCATCCTACAATCTTTGTTTGGAGACTCGAAATATAACAAACTAACTATCTTGACACTGTTAAAGTGATAGGCACCTACAATCTGTGTTTGGAGACTCGAAATGAAACAAAGTAACTATCTTGACACTTTTAAAGTGATAGGCATCCTACAATCTGTTAGGAGACTCACAAAATGGTGTGAAATGTATTCAATCCACTTTAACAGGGTTAGCCTTTCCCAAATTTAGCTCTTGAACTCTTAATATTCAAGAGTGAAAAATAGTATGAAAACATGGAAAGACCAAATTTATTTAAGTCCAGTTAAAATAGAACACTTTCAGTATTACATCAGATGTATTTTTACGACCTTGTTCAAATCTGTTAATTCCTCATTCATTAAAAATCCTGTCGTCCAGAAGCAGTAACTGAAGAACATTATCTTTAACATCTTGACACAAAAACAGCATCTCCGTTATATAAAACAGTCAACTCTTTATGTTAAGCAATATATAAACTGGTATTTTTGGATCAAGGTTACTTATAAGTAAACACGTTGGGCGTAGTATGTGATCGACGGAGATCGTGTCCATTTTACACTACAGTAGATCTGTGTAAACACGTCCATTAAACCCATAAATTTCCACCTCCTCCCAAGCATTAACAGGTAAATCGTGCTTTGAAGCAGCTGTGTATACTGAACACGTGTGCGAGGACGGTATCGACAATTCCCATAAGTATAATGATATATTATTTGTACAAGCGAAGAACAGCTCGACCAATCACCAATCATACTTATCCATGTTCTAAGCGAAATGGATTAAAACATCTGCCCTTTATCATGTTTACAGTGAAAAGACGGTTTTTGTTAATATCTTACCAGTTGACGGCATGTCGTAATGATGACTGGGATCCCGGCCGCCAGACATCTGTAGACAATTCTCACAGCGAGGTGCGCATGTAAACAGTGGAACCAGTCAACGGACTAAGAAACTGTCTGCGTGCTTGGGATGTCAGGCGGTTTTGTCCCGACATATTGCGTGGATTTATTTATACCGGTCCTGGGTGGCGCGCAGAGACATACGGTAAACCGGATGTAGAGATGACAATCACTTATAGTGTTCCGATTGTGCAAGCATATAATGTCACGCCAAAACGTCTCCAAGACTGAAATTAATGGAGACGTGTCATTAAGTAAATTGTTAATCAGAAACGTAATATTTTACGCATCTTTCCTTACCTTTGACGTAATTATACAATAGTATTCATAACGATATTTGGATATTCATTCAACGTTGATACTAAATGACATTAATTGTCATGCCACGGATGGCGCAACGACATATCCTGTTTACGACATATCTGTCACGGGACATCGTGGACGCCTCCAAACTTTCGTTTGCGAAACAAAACACAGCGTGACTTCTGAAAATGAACACACGTGTTGAGCAATATTTTCTGAAAATGAGTGAGTTCATTTTTACGCCGCTTCTAGCAATATCACGACGGGGGACATCTAATTGGGGCTTCACACATTGTACCCATGAGGGGAATCGAACCCAGGTTTTCGGCGTGACTACTGGGCTATTCCACCGCCCCTTTCTCAAAATTAAATATGCCATTTTTTAAATATTCCATTTTTCAAGATTTGAATTTTACTCGTCGCCTGCACATGACTATAAAGAGGTATGTCATAATATAATCATTCGCTGTTCCTGACATTTAACAAGGGGATAGTGAGGGTGGGGCATATATTCCAGCAACGGTACCTATCAAAATAAGGAATAGCACTGTTTTCCAGTAATTCATTCTTGTCGTAAAAGCGACAAATGGAACCGGGTGTAAGCCTCGCTGACTTGGTTGACACATGTCATCGTCTCTCAGTTACCAGGACCGATGCTCAGAATGTCAATCACTGGATTGTCTGCTTCCGACTTCACAACGTACAGACTACCGTCTTAAAGATGGAATATTACATTTTAATTGCTTGCAGCATGTCGCCGGCGGTCTCTGATTATGATCCTTGATTTATCTGCATCATACATACCCGTGAAAGTGCTAAAAGTTATCATGGACATTTCCACCTACCTTTGGATGGCCGAACAGGATGCCACTGAAATTCAGTAAAACCTAAACCGAACTGACTCACTACATTTGGGGTAGCCTACTGGCCAAAGCGTTCGCTCGTCACATCAAATATATCACCACAGGGGTATCACTGTATTTGGGGCGGTGGGGTAGCCTAGTGGTTAAAGCGTTCGCTCGTCACGCCGAAGACCTGGGTTCGATTCCCCACTTGGGTACAATGTGTGAAGCCCATTTCTGGTGTCCTCCGCCGTGATATGTTAGAATATTGCTATAAGCGGCGTAAAACCAAACTCACTCACTCCCGGGTTCGATTCCCCAGATGGGTACAATGTGTGAAGCCCATTTCTGGTGTCCCCTGCCGTGATATGCTGGAATATAAAAACTAAAATCAGTCACTTCATTTGGATCCTTCCTTGTTTCTAATCAGAGCTTCGCGCTGTGTGTTCATCGATTCTGTGTACACTTTAGTCAGTCAGAACCTGTGACCCAACATTACAGGTGCTCTCAGTACTCAATGCCCCGTACTATACGAACAGTAAGATGCCGGGATCAACCCTTGTCACAAGCAAATAACGCAAGTCATGCACCAAGAGCCCAGGTCGGTATGAGACAAGATCTCTTCAAGAATTTAATTCAAGTCCTGCTTTTAATACAACCACCGAACAATTAAGAAAACAAGCCATCTGTGCGGTCGTTCTAGTACACGCATCATTATCAATAAACACGATAAACTGGGACAATAACACTGCACTTGAGTGACAAGCACATGAAATAGTGAGTGCAAGCACATACACTGAACTATGCGAAAGCAGATGTCGGGCAGGGTGAGGTGACGGGGTGGGGGACGGGTTGGCCTTAGGGTCATGAGGTGTGGTTGGACAGCGTGAAATGATGGTGGAGGGTGGGGGTGAAGATGCTTATGGAAGATAACCAACGATGCGGACAGGGTTAAATAAGAGGAGGTGGGGTACTGGTCCCATGGGATGGGAAAGGACAAAAGTGAAACTGCTCGGACAAACAGACATGTGCAAAGTCAGCAGTTTGGAAGGATTTGGGGTGGTGGAGACTGGCTGTGTGGGATAGGGTTGGATGGGTGCGGATGTAAGGATTTAAGCGGGCGTTATGTAGGGATATTGGGCCCCGTGGTGATGTTCTAACGAGAGAGAACTGGTAGCTCTGGGAGGTCGTATTCAGATGTGTTTGGTGGGTGCATGTTAGACTCACGCTTAGTCTCTGAATATATATAATTTTGATAGTAACAAATATACCCATTTAAACTGAAAAGGGGATCCAGTGATATTCAGGACCTGGGGAAATCTAGACTTGCTTCATTTAGGGCAGGGAGGGTCAGGCATTAGGGGAAATAATGTGGTTCAGGGCTTGTGAGATAGACTGGGTGCATGTATGTGTGTGTGCATGTTAGCGTGTGCGTGTCTCAGTGTCTCACTCCGTGTCTGTTTCTCTCTCCACGTGTGTGAGCGTGCGTGCGTGTCTCTCTCCTTTGTTTGGGTGTCGTTCTCTCCATGTGTCCCTCTCTGTCTGTGTGTGTTTGTCTCTCTCTGTCTTGGTGCCGCTCCCATTGTGTGTCCCTCTCTCCGTATTTCTTTCTGTCTGTGTCTCTCCCTGTATCTGCGTGTTAAGTTGTTAAGTGAAACTGGTCGCGATAGCATATCTCTCTCTCTCTCTCTCTCTCTCTCTCTCTCTCTCTCTCTCTCTCTCTCTCTCTCTCTCTCTCTCTCTCTCTCTCTCTCTCTCTCTCTCTCTCTCTCTCTGGGTGTGTTTCCCTCTCTGTCTCTCCCTCTGTGGGTCTACCTGGGTGTGGCAGGTGGGGGTTGAGGGCGATGGAGTGTTGGTGCAGACGCACGATGCACTAGTGGAAAGAGGTGACGCAGTACATGCAGTGTTATAGTGCAGCTCAAATCGATGAGGGTGTTACACTGAATAGACAAAAGCTTAGTCAACGCAGTCATGCGTGATGATGTCATCTAGGACACTATCCAGCGACTTCCTTTTTCAATTAAATCAGTAACTCTATATTTATAATTACATTAAATCAGTAACTCTATATTAATAAGTATACATCATCACACAAAAACGTTAATACGATCAGAAAATGCTTTATGTGTATGTACGTACGTACGTGCGTGTATGTATGCATGCGTGTATGTACGTACGTGAGTGTATGTATACATGCGTGTGTGTATGTATGTAATCCTATATACATGTATAAACTCACTTAAAAACACATACACCATAAAAAGTCAGATGTGAGCGAGACGTTATCTAACAACATTAATATATAACACCGTATATATACAATCTGACATTGCAACACTGTCAGCTGCAGAGAGTTCCGGGTTTGGGACAACAGCTGTGCGTCCGATCCTTGAGTGGGCCGGGAGTTATACAACTAAATACCATGATATGGATTCGTGACTATACTTGAAACTCACTTTAAACAAGCGTTAGGTGAAAACAACATTTTTTAGTCGGGCCAAACTAATGGAAAGGCACATATGAGTTATTAAAACTCATGTTTAAGACAAATATTTATCTTCGTACAGCGACATCCCACCTAACGTCTTTTAAAAAGTGTTTCTTTAACACATAGTCTTTAAATCTATTTGTGTGGCCTTCCATACCACTTGGTGCAAGGAGGTGGAGTGCAGTCGACGATGTTGTTCAGAAAGCGTTGCAACCGACAACGTCAACCAGAAGGCGTAACAGACTACCATTAACTTCGTCATTCATCGGAAAGGTTGTCAGTTTGAGTCCATAGAAGACTTTTGTCAGCATGTCGCGTGTTTTGCAGTTCACGGTCAACAGTGCGTGAAAGGACCCCGTAATCAGCGGCGCGACAGGTTAGGAAAGCGTCGGTTGTCTCCATAACGTCTTTGTGCATCATGCCGTCATTTGGTACAGTCACAGGGGCTCATACGTACACTGTACCCGATGTACGCCACAACACGGGTAGCTGCGTACTATAAAAGTACCCTTTTCGGGGGCACATCCTAAATAAGTTTAGAACATAACACACGTTGACCTAAAAAACACGACGTGGCGTGATTTCTCTTTGTTGTCAAAAATGAACTCGTGCAATGGGGATGAGATATACTAAAATAGCTTCTAAGTACAATGTTGTTATGGACAAGCCCAGCTCATCTAGGATATTAATGAACCAGCTGTCCACGCATCAAGCAACTGGGTTTTAATCGCCTTTCAAAACTGTTTATACACATTTTTCTAGTCTCTCCTTCCTAAAGATCAATGTAGGAGGCACTTATGCAACAGCGCACATCCCTAACCAATAATATAAATACCCGGTAGTTATAATGTGGCGCAACAAGCTGTATTCCATAGCTGAAATGCGCATGACGAACTACGGTTATAACGAACTAAAATTAGTGGTCACCTCGAGTTCTCCATAACCTTAGTTTACTGCCCTTGGGTGCTGATAAAGGCAAATCTCCCTGACCCACATTATTCTTTCCCATACCCAACCCTGTCTGCAATGCAAAATCTCTAGATGAAGCAAGATTAGATTCTATCAGGTTCTGAATTTCTTAAGTTCATTGGCGCTCATTTTCAATCTAAATGGAGATTCTTTTTTGCATCAGAATAATATATATTCAGATTCTCATCGTCAGACCGCCGCCATATAGCTGGGATGTTGCTGAGTGCGGCGTAAAACTAAACTCACTCACTCACTAAGGCAAATCATTCTTACCTCCGTCAAACGATCAGTGTGATTCATTTGAATCCCCTTTGGAAGTATACAACCAAAGCCATAATACCAGTCCTACCGGGTACCCATTTGTAACTGGATGTACAGAGGCCTCAGCAAAGTCACTATCGTAAGAAGGCACCACCTGTATTGTCAATGCCCTTTCTTGTTTGCTCAGAACCAAAAGGAATAATGCTGACTAAACTCATTCAAAAGTCGTCAATTCTATTTAACAACCTCTTTCAAATAATCCAGTATATCGGCCCGGTGGTCGCTGTCACGTGACATTGACATATGCTCGTGGGCGTTAGGCCGAACGCTGTCCAGTGACCTTGACATAATACCACCTGTCGGAGTGACTCAACCCGCCCTTCCTTGTCTGTAGGTGCGGGGGTGGAGGTCACTCTGATGGTCAGTTTGGCTGTTTATCCCTGGAATGTGCATAGGTGGGGTCATTAGGGTACCTTTTGATCAGCCGGATTTAATTTACGATTCTGTTGTGTTTGTTTAATGTGGCACGAAGGCTGAAGGCTTAACAACAGAATAATAGCCACGGGATTGCTACTGTATATGCTGGTTGTTTATTGGTATAGGTATTTTCCTGCTGAATAATAGAGCGAGGTGTTCCTGATGAACGCCTACGAGCGCCAGTTGGTTTTGTTGTCGGCACGAAATGAGCGTAGCTGTGTTGACAGTCCGCCCTCGAGATTCCGTAGAATATGGAACGAGACGAAACCCAACGAAACACAGAATGATGATATCGTTTATCAACAATAATCAATAACCACAACATGACGGTACACAAATAACAGAAGAGTCACGTTCACAACACGTGCGTGACATATGGTCCCGTGACATTTCACCTATCGTCCTGAAGATTCATCTTACAATAGGCCCCATTACATATACATGTACTGAAATAAAATATTCCAAAATTCCAAACTACAAATTCGGCAACACCTTGCCAAGTCAAGGCTTCTCCAGTTCCGTAAAAAAGAAGATATTCTTTTCTTTTATCATTAAGTGGCAAGGTCACAAATACATCTTGAAATATTTTCATTTCAAATACTAAATATCAGTCTTGCCTTCCACCACAGAGGACCAGCAAATGCATAGCCCATTGAAGCACCTTATGAAGATATTCTCATGGGTTCTTTTCTTTTACAATTAAGTGGCAAGGTTACGAATACATCTTCAAGTATTTAAATACTAAATGTAAAGCTTGCCTTCCACAACAGAGGACCAACAGACATACAGCCCATCTGTCACGTCTGTATTAAACTACATCAATATTACAAAACAGTCAAGCTTCATTTATCCGGACATTTGTTCATCCAAACATTTTACACGGAGCGAGTTCCGTCAGGTGTAAAGGGGTTCGCTGTGATGTTTATGTGCACCTTTAATAAAACGATCTTAAGTGTCTTGGTTAGCAGGAATGGGGTTTAGCGTCGCGTTTAAGATTACTGCCTTTATCAAGCGACATGTGTTTGAATGAGTGAGTTAAGTTTTACGCCGCTTTTAGCAACATTCAAGCTATACAACAGCGGGGGTCAACAGACATCGGCGTGAGACGTTTTTGTTGTGCTAGTCTACTGAGACATTATGTCGCTGTTTATCATGGGTATCCCACTCGGACACATTATTGTAACCCCGAGCCCCTCAGTCCTTGTTTAATCGCCTCAATTCCTACATCCAGGAACGGTAACAAAAAGTACCATATTTTAACATGACGCAGCCGGGGATCGAACCATCGGCTGACCTCCCTCCTCTGTCCACTTTGCTGCGGAAGCGGTTCATATATCACTGCCACAATATCAATCATACACTATGCTAATAAAATACGACAAAGATCAACTCCCTGTATGACACCAAGATAGTCGGCCCTGCAACTCGGATGTCGGTGTTTATTAGTGTATTGCGAAATAAAGGCGTCAACATGAAATCCCGTGTGTACCGCCTACACGTCGCCATCACCTGATGTCGTTCATGTCGGCTGTCCCAACAGAGAAGTCCACGTGTTTTACGGATCAATGTTCTTCAGTTCACCTGTACACTTTGCCATTGACTCACAGATTAATTTAGGTTCATCGTGACCGACTTGTTTGTATGTAGGTCTATTCACAGTCTGCGGGCTGTTGATAACGCTCGATGCGGGCCAAGGCGTGAAGTAAATCTGGCCATATCGAGCATTAAAATGTTTGCTTAAAGCCACAAAGGAAATTAAGTTGTGAATGCGTTGAATTTGACTAACATATAGCCTATGCAATATTTCTTTCAGCAATATATTTCCCTACTCTACTGTACTCATTTCTCAAAAAGATTCGTTAAACATGAGTTAAATACACATATAAGAAACCCATGGTATAGGCCTAACATACATTTAGCCATTATTCAGAAATATCAAAGAGTAATTTCCTGTTTTGAGTCAATCACAAATCCGCGGCGTGGCATGCCTCTACATCCACCAGTTTTTGTGAAAATTACTTCAATTACAATATCACCTCAGTAACTCAGGAAGGATTACATAAGATATTCGCATTCATATTTCCTATGAAGTGGGCAGTTCGATTTGTGTCTAAATATTAACAACAAACCGTAAAAAAATACACATTCCACAGCACTACAAAGATAGGAATCATGCAAATAGCGGTTATCATCATTATTATTATTATTTGATTTATGTCAGTTATTCTGGGGAAAGGCATCACCGCAGAATACCGATTTAATAAAACGTTCGCATCAAAGCGACAAGTACATTTCATTCACCCACGAGTGAAATCAATACATCTAATGTTTCAAAGGGAAGTAACTCATGGTAACTTAATGGTCGAAAATGGAAAGAAACCACCATCCTGGCCCAGTTCGGTAATTACTTAACTAACGGCTCATCTACATGTGTCATACAACAGATTCTACCGATGACGGAATTTTACAAGCTAATATTATCTATGAGCAATGTGCCACAGTGAGTAGAAGCTATTTTCGTCAGCCAATCAGAAAGCGTTACCTGGATATGAATATGTAACAGACCTTATTTCTATTTTTGGATAGTGTGCAATATCCGAGGTTAATAACAACTGCGCAAAAAGACCAGACAAACACGTGGCCTCAGTGAATTATATAAGGCAATCTAAATACTCATGATGAATAAAGATAACTAATAATTGATACGCCCTTATTCCAGGCAGACTGACAATGGTTTGTTTACATTCGCGATATGAAATTTTTAAACACGAGGATTGTCGCTGAAAGGAATGTCCGTGTCAGATGTGTGAGAAATGTTTATAGTTGGTTGCTCTTGACTGCGCGTGGAATGCTGCTCGTCAAATAATTCCAGCACCAACAAAGCGTTCTCGTAATTACACCACGAACGACGGCGCGTGCCAACACCGCCCTCGGCAGGTGAGACATAACTTGGTTATCAACACAACACGACGGAATAATGACATGGAAAAACTCTACAGCAGGTGTTAGCAAAAACATTTCATAATTTACGTAGTTAGTGGAACTCCTCACAGCGACCCAGCGCACCTGCCTGCTTCGTTCAAAAACACAATTCTGAGTGACATTGCCGCATTCAAAGACAGAATTACCACACACGCGAACTCACCTCTTAACATCATTTGGGCGTGTTTTTGAAGTCACATGAGGTTTCCTTGTATTTTACAACGCAGTAGACGAGATCGACGCTGTTTGGAACTTTAACCCAGAATTCTTAGCTCCGGTGAGCTGGGACGAGAAGCTTTCGCATGAAGTATTTCACACCTTAAGTGCGTTTTTATTCTAGAAATTCCCTCTAAAATAGTTTGCATGCGATAAACATTGTTGCTGGAATAACACTGGTAGGATTGGTTATCACATGTTGATTCAGACAAATGTGTTGCATAAAAAGTTTTCGAGGGACAATATAAATTACAAAACATCAATAAGTACTGATGAAATACAATGCAATAATTACATCAGAACTTACCGTTATTCTATATAGTCCATCCAAAAGCATTCCTCGTCATGTCGGACGGGTACGGACGAACTGAGCGTTGTTGCCCGTCCCCTAGCCGTCTAACGCCCGACCCACAGCTTGTATCTCTGTGTGTGTGTCAGGTGAAACCTCAGTCACTCAATGAATCACACCTATACGTAAGGGAGTATTTATAGGGTTGCTAGAACTTTCCGATCCTCGTGAACCGAACACTCCTTCACTGGAGGGGAACCCCGACCTAGTTTTAAAAATAGCAGTCTCAACAAGCGGGGAATCTCCCAGCCTGGTCCGAGAGCGCCCTCTTCACTGTCAAGGATTCGTCGAATTTTTATATGATATAGGTATGGTTGCACAGATTCGGATCTTTACGAGAAGTTAATTAGTATGATACTGCGCACCAGATATGACCTGTTTTGACTCACGGATAACTCACTGTTATCGATCCGTTCGCTTCATCACAACGATGGTTTCTTAGCCTTCCCGTACTGTGTGAGCCAGTCTCGCGTTAACGCGCAGTAGACGGGACAGATAGCAATGTGTTGTACACTCGGAAATAAATACGCATACACTGGAACCCCGTTTATGCGGATTTATGAGTTCGAATTAAGGGATAAGTTTTACAGCACAGTGTGCATTGCACACGTTTAACCATTTTACCACTGATTATATAACATTTGTTCGGATTACCGAAGTCCAGATTAATGAGGTTTCAATGTTATTTCTTCCGCTAAATGTATACATCCTACTTACAGAAAAACAGAAGCTATGGTCTGAAATGAGATATATATTAATTCATAAGATAGGTGGGGAAAAAAGGTTAATTGTCCTTATCGGGCCTTGAGATAGCCTACTGGTAAAAGCGTTCACTCGTCACGCCGAAGACCCGGGTTCGGATTCCCAACATGGGTACAATGTGTGAAGCCCATTTCTAGTGTCCCCCACATGGTATTGCTGGAATAATTGCGGCGTAAAACTAAACTCACTCAATATTATCATCATATTGTTGGATTACGATTGATTATTGAATTAACTCATTGCTGTGGAAATATCCCAAGTATACTTTCTTGCAAGCAGTCATCTAATAATCATAACGGATGGCTCTTAATATTTTAATAGCATAAAAAACCCATTACTGTTTGTGTGTATGGCGTGAAACGTTGATAAATAATGTGTATGTCTTTGGCGGATTTCCTGTTTGGATTCGATCCCGACTTTACAGCGTGACAAGACTTCAGTTACTCGGTTTGTTCTGTACAGCGACACACATGGATAATTAAAGCTATAAACATGAAGGACAGCTTGTTCAGCTTGACCTGAGCTACTATACATATGCATGACCCGGGAGGTCAAATGGCACAAACGGCAGGTCGAGTTAACTTCATTAAATAGGGGAACAGAGAATTGCTGCTCACTGCCTAAAAGTCCGAATCGGAAACATTAAACCACATGTAGCTTTTTTTTAAGTTTAAAAGAAAGTTAGGACATTGCTGACGATTTCTCGATACTGAGATGTAAAACGGCGACCTTGTCTCGGCTGTTCGGACAAGTTGACAATCGACTGACATAGGTGCACCCCTTCACAATAATAGACCCAACCAGTTGTGACACGGTTACGCAATTCATTCGTATTCACTTGATCAGGTCAAGCAGGAAAGATTACACATTTGTTACTCTTTCTTCTCGGTAACCATTTGTAAACGCAGTTTTTAGTCATGTAATTAAATATATATACCACACTCCATTGTTGCTTACAAAGCTGTGATATTATATTTACTACTATCTGTTTTAGATATAATATAGTGCCTTGTGTCTCATAGGCCATATGGCCGGATGTTATATTTTATTGGATGTTTTAAAGTTTATGTATGTTTTATATATAACATGTGACACACAAATATATAAATATTTTCTTCTTCTTCTTCTTCTGTTATTATTCATTTTCCCTTGACGTGGACAGTTGATTCCTACCTGAATACAAACATGAATAAATAAACGCATTAATTCCGCCGCACTTTGGCGGTGGCATGTATGCACCATGATAAAACATGGGTCAATTCTTTCAAAAAATACATTTGTACAAGGATTATATCTGTGACCCATGTGATTGCCATAGTAGTCTCCATTTTCCCGACTGTCCAAGTCGTTCCGATTGTCCCAGTTCTCCCAAATGTCCCAGATATCCCGATAATCTCTATTGTTCCCGTTGTTCCAGTTGACCCAATTGTCTCAGATACCCCGATAGTCTCAATTGTTCTGATTGCGTGTTTTGGATAAATGATTCAAATGCAAAACAAAATTGTTTTGGTGTTTCTACATTTGGCGAAGATTAGCATCAGGAGATGCAAATACTTCAGAAAGATGGTGATCAAAGGTTTTGCTTCAACACAAGCTTTCTTCATCCTTAGAGCACTTGTATAAAATAAGGTTTCTTGTCGCATGTTGCTGTCGTATCCCTTAGCTTAGACAATGGATAACCTATGTGTTAACATAAGAAAGAAAGTGGAGGGTTATTTGTCATCGTTTTATTTTCCAGTTTCTGAAAGTTGACAATGTACAAGGTGGTTCAGTAACCTGCAAGGCTACAGTTCCAGTTATGCTGTCCAATGTCCAACCGTGTTTTAGGAATGGGGAATACAGTTCTTTTTAACCGTGGTGTCACCCTCTTTTGCCACCTCCTCCTTTGCCAAATCCAGTTTTGCCATCACTTCCTTTTCCACCACCCTCTTTGCCAAATCCGTCTTTACCACCGCCTCCTTTGCCTCCTTTGCCGACTTCTTTTGCCACCGCCTCCTTTGCCGCCACCACCGTCACGCCCACCATAGGCTGAACCAAAGAGAACTGTGAACACTGCAAAGATAAACGGCATGTCAATAGTTGACATAATCAGACATTGCATGCTGATACTTTGAAACAGAAAACAATTGCCAAGCATAGATCAAATATGCATTTAGTCGCATAACACTGGACACAAGTAGCCCATAACGAAAGTTAAGATAAACAAACCGCTCTCTCACATTTATGATTAAATAGTCAGAATTTTCGATGTTAGAATTTACGAACTCACCCAACGCTCCCACAAGAGCAACTTTAAAAAACTGCATCTTGGAGGGAACCCCTATCAACTTTTAGAACAAACGTTGTGGATATGATAATGTGGCAGCTCACAGATCTTTATATACAAATGAAACAGGAAATCGAGACACTGAATCTCAATACTAGCCCTGGATGAGGCATGATATTAACCATACTTATTTTCCACTGTTTTTTCCCCAGTTTTTGTTCCGAAATACCAATATACAACAGTACAACCAGAAATTATTGAGAATTTAAAGATTTTATATTTTTATATTTTTTTCACTCATTACTCACGTATTAAATGTGAATATTGGCACAACATAACTCTAGATTCAAAGACAGGTGAACAATTAGTAGTTTGTCAAGTCACCATGGGCAGCAATGCAGGCGTCAATGCCGCGGGGCATACTACTGATCAAAGAAGTTAGAAAGTCGTGGTCCATGCTGTCCCAATATCGGACCACCTCTTCTTCCAATTCAGCAATATTTGTCAGATATTTCTTATTGACACTTTCCTTCATATGTCCCCAAACATTTTGTATTGGATTTAGGCCAAGGCTATAGCTTGGCCAATCTAATAATGTCTTATTTTGGGTCCGAAACCAGGCCTGTGAATGCTTTGAACGATGTTTTGGGTCGTTGTCCTGCTGGAAAATCTAAAACTTTCCATAGAACACGTGAGCAGATGGAAGTAAATGTCCCTCGAGAAAATCTGTGTACCGCTCACTGTTCATATTCCCTTCAAATACACAGAGGGGCGTTTTTTAGTTTTTTTGGTCCAGAATTTCAGTGTATTAGGAAACAGCCACACAGAACTTTCACCTGAGAAAATCACGTTGTCCCAGTTAAAATTTCTATGCTGAAAGCACCAGTTCAACCTTCGCTACTTTTGTTCAGGTTTCATGATCGGTGATGGAATTCCTCGACTTTTCTGCCAACCCATTGCATGCAGCTCAGTTCTAATTGTCTCCTTACAGACAGCCACAGTTCCTCTATCAATCGTATCCAGCCTTAAGTTTTCTAAACTCCTTCGTTTGTTTTTAGAAACAAGAATACCAAGCCGCCTCCTGTCACCGACAGTCAGTTTTCTGGGCCTCCCTGCGCCTCCCTCATGCTCAATGCCATATCCATTTGCAATATTTTTCAAAACACGATAAACAGTGGACACAGGGATGTCTGTTCTACTTGAAATCACTTTAGCTTATCTGACGTCCTTGTTATAATGCTCTAAAATCAACTTCCTCTTCTCTAAATCATCCATATTGAGGATCACTGAAACTATGTTATGTGATATAACCTTGACATTTCTCACTTGTCATTGTTTGTCACGTCCATCTTCCTGCATGGTTATCGAAGCCATGCTGTGTATCTGTGACCTAACCTGGAATCCCTGCGTTCTTTCACTGTTGGATTGCCTTCTAGGTGTATTGAATCATCCAATGAAATCCCAGCAGTAACCATAAAAATGGATTGGACGGAAGACTATATCAACTGAAGTGACAATCACCAATATCAGTGAAGCTCTTCTGCGATGTGCTATCACTGCTTACTTGGAGTAAACATTTTACTATCGTAATGTCAAACTTCACATGAATGGATTGTTTATTTACCAAACAAAATGCAGATGGTGTGGCACATTTGAATAAAGGCATGCCTATGGTATGATTTATAACACTATTTTGATGAGGTTAATCGAGCATGCAAGAAGAGATTCATGTAAAGAGGTATATGTTTTGTCATGGCTTTGGACAATGTTAGGTGTTTGGTTATTTTTTGTGGCAATATTTGTGATATCATCCATTATTTTATAAACACAGCCATTTCCGATTCGTAAATTGCGCTAAATGGAAAGAGAGATGTTGGAGCAGCATATTGCTGACGGACGCTGTGCTTTTGTTTCAGTAAGGAGGTTTAATCAAACCTCAAAAGTGTAGTCGGAAAAACCGTGATTTAAAGGAACAAGGCCAGTGACATATTATCCTAATTATCTTCGAACGATACAGAAGTTGTTGTTTGTCTTTTGGGTGCGTGAATCAAATGCATACATGTTTTGCTTTGGTGTCTAATTATGGTGAAGATACGAACAGCATTAGCAGCTGAAAATACTTTAGAAAGATGGTGATCAATGGTTTCGCTTTAACACAAGTTTCTATCATCCTTAGATCACTTGTATAAAATCAGTTTTCTCGTTACATGTTGTTGTTCCATCCCTTAGCTTAGACAATGGATAACATATGTGTTAACATGTTAACTGGCAAGTAATCAGCCAGTGACAAGCAAAAGAAGAAAGAGAAGGGTTGTTTGTCATCGTTTTTTTTTCTGACAGTTGACAATGTACAAGGTGGTTCAGTAACCTGCAAGGCTACAGTTCCAGTAATACTGTCCAATGTCCAACAGTGTTTTAGGAATGAGGAGATACAGTATTTTGTAACCGTGGTGTCACCCTCTTTTGCCACCTCCACCTTTGCCAAATCCGTCTTTGCCACCACCTCCTTTGCCACCTCCCCCGTTGCCAAATCCGCCTTTACCACCGCCTCCTCTGCCACCTCCCCCGTTGCCAAATCCGCCTTTACCACCGCCTCCTCTGCCACCACCCTTGCCTCCGCTTCCTTTGCCACCGCCTCCTTTGCCACGTTTGCCGACTCCTTTGCCACCGCCTCCTTTGCCGCCACCATCGTCACGCCCACCATAGGCTGAACCAAAGAGAACTGTGAACACTGCAAAGATGAACAGCATGTCAGTGGTTTGACATAATCAGACATTGCATGCTGACCATTTAAAACAGAAAACAGTAGCCATGCATAGCTCAAAACTGCCTTTAGTTGCATAACACTTGAAACAATCAGTCCGTTACGATAGTTACAATAAACACACCACTCACTCACATTTATGATTAAATAGTCAGAATGTCGATGTTAGAATTTACGAACTCACCCAAAGCTATTGCGAGAGCAACTTTGAATATTTGCATCTTGAGGGAACGTCTATCCACTGTTAGACCAAACGTTGTGGATGATATGATAATGTGGCAGCTCACAGGTCTTTATATACAAATGGAACAGGAAGTTAAGACACTTAATCTCAATCCTTGCCCTGGATGAGGCATGATTACATTCTCCTTTTGCACTGTTTTTCTTCCCAGTTTTTGTTCCGAAATACCATTATATTATGTAATGTCACCTTGATGTTTCTCACTTACCTTTGTTTGTCATGTCCATCTTCCTGCATGGTTATGAAAGCGATGCTGTGTATCTGTGACTTAACCTGGAATCCCCGCGTTCTTTCACTGTTGGATCGCCGTGTAGGTATTTTGAATCATCCAATGACATCCCAGCAGTTCCCATAAAAAGTGGATTGTACAGAAGACCATATCAACCTCACTGACAATAAGCAAATATCAGTGAAGTTCTTCTGCGATGTGCTGACACAATTATATTGGGGTAAACATTTTATTGTCGTAATGTCAAGCTGCATATTAAGCCAAGGTGTGTTCTCTGACAATAGGTGGCATCGCGTACTACTGGACTCGCTAAGGGGAGATGAGGCTCGATAAGAGTGTTAATCATCCCAGTAGGCTGATAACACGAACTATCAGATACGGCTGGCTGCAAAATATTAGATGGAACTGAAAAGGTGGTTATGTCACACAGTGCATACGTTCTTTATAAACCTAATTACTGTAAAGCTGGTCTGCGATGTGCTATCACTGCTTACTTGGAGTAAACATTTTACTATCGTAATGTCAAACTTCACATTGAGTGGATTGTTTATTTACCAAACAAAATGCAGATGGTGTGGCACATTTGAATAAAGTCATGCCCATGGTATGATTTATAACACTATTTTGATGAGGTTAATCGAGCATGTAAGAAGAGATTCATGTAAAGAGGTACATGCTTTGTCATGGCTTTGGACCATGTTATGTGTTTGGTTATTTTGTGTGGCAATATTTGTGATATTATCAATATGTTTGCACACACTGCCATTTACGCTACCTAAATTGCTCTAAATGGAAGGAGAGATGTTGGAGCAGCAAATTGCAGTCGAACATAGTGTTTGCGTATCAGTGTTAGAAGGTTGGATCAAACGTCAAAAGTATGCACAGTGGACGAGAGTAAAATACATGTTAATGCCTATAAATATTTGGCATTCTCATCTTTGCCTATGAATGCTTTTGGCAGTCACTTTGAAAAGGTCTTAAAAGTTTCTTATTGGCGAAATTCACAAGCTTTGTTTAAGACAGACAGGATTTATTGGGCCGTTGCACGTGCACGTTTATCAATAGACTTAATACATTACTAGAATCTGTGAATATAGAGGCATGACGTGGTGTAAATTGTTAAAAATTTCAAGTGTTGCAAAAACAGGTACTTTGTATACGGAGTATGACTGACTGTGCAAGTTGTTCCGATTGGCCCAGTTGTCCCAAATGTCTCAGATAACCTGATTGTCTTAATTGTTCCGGTTGTCCCAATTATCCCAGATTAATAGTCCCGAATGTCCTAGTTGTCAGAATTTTCCCGAATTACTCAATGGTCTCAATTGTTCCGATTGTTCTAGTTGGCCCAATTGTCCGAAATAACTCAGTGGTCTCAATTGATCCGGTTGTTCCAGTTGTCCCAATTGCGTAATTGGAGGCGTAGTTGAAAAACCAAGTACATTTGTTGTCAAAACGTAGCCAGTGAAATATTATCCAAATGATCTTCCTACGATACAGAAGTTGTTGATTTTCTCTTCTGAATGACTGAATCCAATGCAAAAAGGTTTCGTTGTGGTGTCTGCTTTGGGCGAAGATACGATAATTATTAGCAGCTGACAATACTTCAGAAATGTTGATCAATCGTTTCTCTTTAACACAAGCTATTTTCATCCTAAGAGCACTTGTACAAAATAAGGTTTCTCGTTACATGTTGCTGTTCGATCCCTTAGCTTAGAAAATGGATAACACATGGGTTACCATGTTATCCAGCAAGTAATTAGCCAGTGATATAAAATAGAAAAAAGGGAAGGATTATTTGTCATCGTTTTATTTTCCAGTTTCTGAAGGTTGACAATGAACAAGGTGGTTCGGTAACCTACAAGGCTACAGTTCCAGTAATGCTGTCCAATGTCCAACAGTGTCTTAGGAATGAGAAGTTACAATTCTTTTAACCGTGGTGTCAACCTCTGTTGCCACCGCCTCCTCTGGAACCTCCTCTGACACCACCTCCTCCTCTGCCTCCACGCACACCATAGGCCGACCCAAAGAGAAGTGTGAACGCTGCAAAGATAAATGGCATGTCAGTGGTTTGCCATTACCAGGATTTGTAAGTTGATTCTTTAAAATAGGTGACAATTGCCAGCATAGCTCAACAATGCATTTAGTTGCACAACAATTGAAACAAGAAGTCTGTAACAAATGTTACAACAAACACTCAAATGTTTTATTAAATAGTCAGAATGTCGATGTTAGAATTTAAGAACTCACCCAACCCTACTGCGAGAACAACTTTAAATATCTGCATCTTGGAGGGAACGTCTTTCCACTTTCAGAACAAACGTTGTTTATGATATGACAATGTGGCAGCTCACGGGTCTTTATATACAAATGAAAGAGGAAATCAACATACTTACTGTCAATACTAGCACTGAATGAGGCATGTTAATACATTCGCCTTTAGCACGATTTCCCCCCAGTTTTTGCTTTGATATACAATTATGTTATGTGATATAACCTTGACATTTCTCACTTGCCATTGTTTGTCACGTCCATCTTCCTGCATGGTTATCGAAGCCATGCTGTGTATCTGTGACCTAACCTGGAATCCCTGCGTTCTTTCACTGTTGGATTGCCTTCTAGGTGTATTGAATCATCCAATGAAATCCCAGCAGTAACCATAAAAATGGATTGGACGGAAGACTATATCAACTGAAGTGACAATCACCAATATCAGTGAAGCTCTTCTGCGATGTGCTATCACTGCTTACTTGGAGTAAACATTTTACTATCGTAATGTCAAACTTCACATGAATGGATTGTTTGTTAACCAAACAAAATGCAGATGGTGTGGCACATTTGAATAAAGGCATGCCTATGGTATGATTTATAACACTATTTTGATGAGGTTAATCGAGCATGCAAGAAGAGATTCATGTAAAGAGGTATATGTTTTGTCATGGCTTTGGACAATGTTAGGTGTTTGGTTATTTTTTGTGGCAATATTTGTGATATCATCCATTATTTTATAAACACAGCCATTTCCGATTCGTAAATTGCGCTAAATGGAAGGGGAGATGTTGGAGCAGCATATTGCTGACGGACGCTGTGCTTGTGTTTCAGTAAGGAGGTTTAATCAAACCTCCAAAGTGTAGTCGGAACAAGGCCAGTGACATATTATCCTAATTATCTTCGAACGATACAGAAGTTGTTGTTTGTCTTTTGGGTGCGTGAATCAAATGCATACATGTTTTGCTTTGGTGTCTAATTATGGTGAAGATACGAACAGCATTAGCAGCTGAAAATACTTTAGAAAGATGGTGATCAATGGTTTCGCTTTAACACAAGTTTCTATCATCCTTAGATCACTTGTATAAAATCAGTTTTCTCGTTACATGTTGTTGTTCCATCCCTTAGCTTAGACAATGGATAACATATGTGTTAACATGTTAACTGGCAAGTAATCAGCCAGTGACAAGCAAAAGAAGAAAGAGAAGGGTTGTTTGTCATCGTTTTATTTTCTGACAGTTGACAATGTACAAGGTGGTTCAGTAACCTGCAAGGCTACAGTTCCAGTAATACTGTCCAATGTCCAACAGTGTTTTAGGAATGAGGAGATACAGTATTTTGTAACCGTGGTGTCACCCTCTTTTGCCACCTCCACCTTTGCCAAATCCGTCTTTGCCACCACCTCCTTTGCCACCTCCCCCGTTGCCAAATCCGCCTTTACCACCGCCTCCTCTGCCACCTCCCCGTTGCCAAATCCGCCTTTACCACCGCCTCCTCTGCCACCTCCCTTGCCTCCGCTTCCTTTGCCACCGCCTCCTTTGCCACGTTTGCCGACTCCTTTGCCACCGCCTCCTTTGCCGCCACCATCGTCACGCCCACCATAGGCTGAACCAAAGAGAACTGTGAACACTGCAAAGATGAACAGCATGTCAGTGGTTTGACATAATCAGACATTGCATGCTGACCATTTAAAACAGAAAACAGTAGCCATGCATAGCTCAAAACTGCCTTTAGTTGCATAACACTTGAAACAATCAGTCCGTTACGATAGTTACAATAAACACACCACTCACTCACATTTATGATTAAATAGTCAGAATGTCGATGTTAGAATTTACGAACTCACCCAAAGCTATTGCGAGAGCAACTTTGAATATTTGCATCTTGGAGGGAACGTCTATCCACTGTTAGACCAAACGTTGTGGATGATATGATAATGTGGCAGCTCACAGGTCTTTATATACAAATGGAACAGGAAGTTAAGACACTTAATCTCAATCCTTGCCCTGGATGAGGCATGATTACATTCTCCTTTGCACTGTTTTTCTTCCCAGTTTTTGTTCCGAAAGACCATTATATTATGTAATGTCACCTTGATGTTTCTCACTTACCTTTGTTTGTCATGTCCATCTTCCTGCATGGTTATGAAAGCGATGCTGTGTATCTGTGACTTAACCTGGAATCCCCGCGTTCTTTCACTGTTGGATCGCCGTGTAGGTATTTTGAATCATCCAATGACATCCCAGCAGATCCCATAAAAAGTGGATTGTACAGATGATCATATCAACTTCACTGACAATAAGCAAATATCAGTGAAGTTCTGCTGCGATGTGCTGACACATTTTAATTGAGGTAAACATTTTATTATCGTAATGTCAAGCTGCATATTAAGTGGTTTGTTTATTTACCAAACTAACATGCAGATGGTGTTGCACATTTAGATAAAGGCATCACACCTATGCTGCAGATGTTATGATCTATGGGGCTATTTTGAGGAGGTTACTCGAGCATGTCAGGACAGTTTCATTTAAAGAGGTTCATACTATTTGTCGTGGCTTTTGATCATGTCAGGTGGTTCGATATCACGCGTGGCACGATTTGTGGTATTAGCAATCTGTATATACACATAGCCATTTCGGATAGTGTAAATTGCTCTCAGTGAAAGGAGGGATTTTAGAGCAATGAATTGCAGGCGCACGGAGTTTTAGTGTGTCAGTTAGGAGGTTTGATCAAACCTCACAAGTGTGCCCAGTGAACTACAGTAAAACGAATGATTAAGGCTACAAATATCTGGCATTCTGATCCTTGCCTGTGGAGGCTTTTGATAGTCACTCTGAAGAGGTCAAACGCTTCTTAATGGCTAAATTCCCAAGCCTACTTTCAGGCAGACAGGAAGTATTTTGCCTTTGCATGTGCACGTGTATCAATACAATTATCACATTAACTGTGTATATTGACGTACAAAGAGGGGTAAATTAATATAAATTTCAAGAGTTGTAAAACTAAATACATGTGTACTTTGAACCAGGCCAGTGACGTATTATCTAAATTGTATTCGTACATTACAGAGGTTAATGATTTTGTCTTTTCTTTAAGTAAATGAATCAAATGAAAACAACTTTGTTTTGGTGTCTACTTTTGGTGAGTGAGTGAGTGAGTCAGTTTTACGCCTCTTTTAGCAATATCCCAGCAATATCCTTGACGGCATTGTGTTGAAGGTGTGCAGACTTCAACTGTGTACAGTTTTCACCAGATTGTTTCAATTCTCAGTGAATACACACGTTATTCCTTCGGTCTGGAAAACATCAGAAATTGTACCAGTTCCTAAAAAGACACAACCTAAAGAACTCAACGACTACAGGCCAGTTGCTCTCACATCTATAGGAATGAAGTCGCTGGAACGCATCTTGTTGACACATCTCCGTCAGGAAGTTGCCGACATACTGGACCCGCTTCAGTTCGGCAACAGGTCAAGGAGAGGAGTTGTTGATGCCACACTGTCACTCCTGAATAATGTCTATAAACATCTCGAGACACCTAAGTCATACATCAGGATCCTCTTCGTTGACTTTTCATCTGCGTTCAACACTATCTAGCCACATATCATGATACAGAAACTGTTAGACATGGGCGTTAACTCATGCCTCATCAAGTGGATCGAAAACTTTCTTGTGGACAGACAGCAGTACGTGAAAGTTAACGGGGCTGTATCGAGTAAATGGACCACCAACACTGGTGCACCACAAGGCTGTGTAATATCTCCTGTTCTTTTCAACCTCTACACTAATGATTGTGCAAGCTCGAATTCAACCTGTTCAACTGTAAAGTTCGCAGATGATGCAGCAATTGTCGGCAAACTGAACGACACTGATTCTGAAGAACTGTATAAAGAGGACATTAATCATTTTACGACTTGGTGTGCAGAAAACCACTTACTCTTAAATGTCACAAAAACAAAGGAACTGATAATTGATTTTCGGAGTAAACCCACAGAACTGCTTCCAGTAATAATCAACGGTGATGGTGTTGAGACAGTGTCGGAGTATAGGTATCCGGGAACCTTCAGTTCCTAAGCTGAACTGGAACTCTAACACTGAAGCCCTATACAAAAAGTGTCAACAACGTCTTCATCTCATGCGTAAACTGAGATCTTTTAATGTTAACCCATCTGTGATGTCATCTTTTTATGAAGCATTTATTCAGAGTATTTTAACATTTTCCTTCCATTGTTGGTACGGGTCTCTCTCAGTTCATCTCAAATCTAAAATAGACAAAATTGTTAACACTGCAAGTAAAATCGCTGCAGTCAGATTTGAATGTTTATCATCAATATATGAGGGGCAAATCGTGAATTAAGCTGTCAAAATCATATCTGACCGTACTCACTACTTAAATTCGGAATACAACCTTCTCCCTTCAGGCCGCCGATACAAAGTTCCAATTGTGAAAACTAAGAGAGCCCGTACATCCTTTATTCCAAGTACCATATCTCTCTTAAACAAATGTGAAGATGCCCAAATCAAAGAATTTATGTAAATATGTTTGGTATCTCTCTAATGTGTCAGTAGCTCTGCTGATGTAACACAAATTCCTGAAAAGGCATTAAAGTATTATTCTATTCTATTCTATTCTATTCTATTCTATTCTATTCTATTCTATCACGGCGGGGGACATCAGATATGGGCTTCATACATTTGTACCCATGTGGGGAATCGAACCCGGGTCTTCAGCGTGACGAGAGAACGCCTTAACCACTTGGCTACTTTTGAGGATACAAACTGCATTAGCAGCTAAAAATGTTTCAGAAGATTGTTCACATGGATTTATGTTTAACCCGACTTTCCTTCATTCATAGCGTATCCATGTTTGAGAGTTTCTGTAACGTGGTGAACTTCTCTGCATATCAGATTCTGTCACCATGGACTTTTCTCACAGTCATTAATTTTGCAAGTCAATTTCAATTTTATGACGAACAGCAGCTCCAGCATTTGATTTCAAAACTTTTGAAGTACTTTGGCGGATGTTCTTTCAACGATTTCAAAGAGC